GTATATATTGTTTTATTCCTTTTGGTTCTATGGCAATGAGTAAATACTATATATAGAATATATATTTTAATTAAGTAAACATATATGTGTACATATATTATATAATACCACACCATCATGGCTTGACTATATGTATAAAATATGTGTATATACATGCACATATATATGTATTATATAGTCAAACCGTGATCAAAAAGTCAACTCTGTTATGTCACATTCACACGCTCAGAGTCCTTTGAAATACAGCATGAAGGGAGAAGAATTTTAATTTCCAATAAGGTAAATGTCAGTAGTTTTAACTCACATAAACAAAATTTCTTCAGGATCCTCAATAATTTTAAACAATGCTTGCTTCCTAGAGACATTAAACTCTGTTCCTGCAAGATTTTCTCAGATCTCTGGATCTTCTTTTTTTTCTGTGTGCATTCCTCACTCATTCATCCATGCATTTAACAAACAATTTTATTAAACACACTCTATGCTCATGTTAACATCTTACCCATCCACCATCAACTCCCCCCAGGTAGAGTCTCAGGGGAGGTGCTCACACCACTGTGCTCTGTACCCCACTGTGAGCATTTCTGGTGCTTACCACATGCCCAATAACATGGATAGCACATTACACTCAGTTAGGCAGGGAGTAGGGAAGAGATGGAGGGTTCCAAGTAAGTTTCTGGTTGTTTAAATTTGACTTCTCCATTTGTGTAAGTCCAAGTCATATTAGAACCCAGTTTCCAATGATCAATTTTCTTCTTTTACTCACTCTCACACAAACCAAAGTGTCAGATGGCTATCTGGCATGTGGGAGTAAGGCAAACTTTTTAGCTCTTTTTTTCCCTTCCAATTAATAACAATAACAATTCATTTTTAATGCTTTCAAGTTTATGAAGCACTTTTCTCACAGTGTTCGAAGTAAGAAATGAAAATTTTATCCCTATTTTACAGATAAAAAAACTGAGGATCAGGGAAGTCATTTGACTTGTCTAGAGATATACATCTTGTAGAGCTGAAGATTGATCTTCTGATTTTAAGTCCAGTACTCTTTCCAAACACGTGGTGTCTCTCATGTAATACTCACAACCAGCTATATAACACTTGAAGGTTTACAAAATGCTTCAGCCATAGTTATTCTAGAATGTGAGTCGGGGAAGGGTGTCAGAATTTTCCCTGGAGGATGTACCCATGTTCACCCTTTGCACCCTTACTTGCCTCTGTGAGCTCTGGAATTTCCAAAATGTCCATTTCTGCTTCCAAAATATCGATGTTGGCACAATTATGTGGTAACAAATCCTTCTGTGAGCAGAGAAAATTCACTTGAAAAGCAAGAGAAAATACAGTGAGTTAATGAAGTTGTTTTTAGTCTTGTGCTTATTCAAACCTTAATTATTTCTTTTCATTTTCTATGCTTTCCCCCAGTTTTCCAGTGTTGTTGATTCCATTAGACAGTCTTTGGTCTGAAACAATTTGTGATCCATTTTGATTGGATTTTGATTTTGTTGCTTTAAATGTGATAGATGTTTAGAATCGCTTTCTTTTCCTGTGTAAAAGTATGATGGGCTAAGGTTGGTTCTGTCAGGTTTGGGGCTCCGAAGCTTATGCCTACAGAACAGAACATACCCCGCCCTGGCACTTAGCATTTTAACCCCTTGGCAAGAGTTTAGGTCATTCCAGAAAGAGGCAGTTCTCTTGCCAGTTAGATAAGAGTTAGCTGGACAAGAAGTCTTGGCTGGCAGGCTGCACATGCAGGTTGTCCCTGCCTGGACTGGAATACGTTTGGCAGAAATGGAGTCAACTCTAAAATCCTGCGTGAATTAACTAGGAGGTTCAGAAGCATATGACTGATGGCTTTGAAACTGTTGTATGGAATAATATCTGGAATCCTAATCACACCTTATCCTCAAAGCCTAGCTCAGCTATTACTTCATCCAGCTATTTTCACATAATCAAAAAGCTAGACGAGTCTTCAACTCATTTATATCCTCTAAGAATGCCGAGTAGGATGTGGAAGGGTGAAAGAGGGAGGTTCCTCTCAGATAGGAGCGGATAGTCTTTTTTAAAACTCCAAGGAAGGCGATTCCATCTTCTGCTAGCTAATTTCATAGGCAATCCTTGTGTCCTCTTCTCTGTAAGATGATAGAGTTGGACAAGATGATTTCTAAGGCATCTTCCAGCTGTAACATTCTCTTCTGAATAGTGGGGTAGGGGCTGATCCAGGAGTCACTGGTCATTTGGGGAGCTCTTGGAAGCAATTCCTATTTCATAAGGTTCCCCCTAGCCCTTATGTTCTATGATTCTCTTGAACTCGTGACAGTTTAAAGCCTCTTTTTTCTTACTCAGTGGTCAGGAAAGGTTGAGAACAGCTTCTATGTAATCACCTGGGACTCATCTCATAGTGAGAAAAACTGAGGCAAGCAGCAGGAACTTATTCAGGTTTGGCTCCCAAGATGATGGTAAGACCCCCTGAAAAATGAAATTTCTGGAAGTTCAGGGTAGATTGTTTCCTATGAAACTATGTTGCTTCTCCAGAAACACTTGACACCAAAACTCAGAGCTTCCAGTTGCTACCTTTGCTCACAGGCAGTCATGAAATAAAGATGCCAAAAGAGTTCTCAGGAGGTCACTGGGGAGCCTAATGCTAAGTGGTTTCCAAGTGGCTGGCTCTGCCATGACTCCCATGCTCACTCCCCTTGAGCCAAGGCACAGTCCAAGTCTGGGCGGCTCGTCTTCCACAACGGGGATGGAGTGGGATCGGAACCTAGGACCTCAGCAGTTGGAAGGGACTTGGGAAGTCATCCAGTCTAAGCGTACTTGAATAGGAATTCCCTCTGCATGATCTCAGATACTTGGTCATCCTTTTGAATGTTTCAAATGCTGAAGAACTCCATCCCTTTATTTCACTTTTAGAAAGTTATTCCTTTTACCCTACCTCAATTTTCCTTTCTGCAACTTAGACTTCTTTTTCCCCAGTTCTATTCTCAGGGGCCAAGCAGAACAAATCATTGTTTGATGTTGTGTCCCCTCTCTTACATTTGTGGGGCATCTGGGTTTGGGGGCCTAATGGGGAGGGAGAGAAGCAGAGCATTTTAAAAACAAAATAAAGTGATAGATGTGAGAGAAGCGGCCAGGAGGGCAGCACAGCCTGGCCCCTTTTGGCCCTGTCTGAGAAGCTTTACAATCACCCATGAAACAGAACTGGCTACACTCAGACTCTATCAGAGCCACATTTTCAGCCAGCTGCACAGCAGATTGTCTTCTGTCACCAGGGTGGGGTGACACTTTGGGGATCAAGTCCAGGGGCAGGAAACAGTAATGGACTTCCTCTTCAGTGTCCAAGAGCAGGTTGTCCATGAGTCCCAGGGGAGCTTTATCATGCAGCCCTGGAGTAGAAAAAGCAAAGGGGAGTTGAAACAGTAGTAAGGAAAATAATGAGTTTCAGCATTGTTCTTACTCCTGTCCCAGAAGTCCCTGCAAAGCTTGAAAACTCAAGAGACACAATCCCTGCAAGGGGGCTTTTCTCTCTCTGCAGATAAAACATGTCTTAAGTAGCCCCCATAATGTGGCAAAGCTCAGGGGTAGAGTTGTCTCTATTCGGCAATCAATGAGGGATGACAGGACCCCCCTGAGGATGTTTTTGCTTAGGGACCCCAATTACTAGCTCTGTTATGAATTTTCAGGGAAGTTTTGGGCTTAGCATTTTTTAAAAAAAGATGTCAAAACAACTGTTGTGACCTAGAGACCCTCAGCCATTAGTGTAAGGGTGCTATTAATAATAACTGAGAATAACTACTCAGATTTCTAGTTTTATATACTTTTAAGGTTTATGAAACATTTTTTTCTTTGAACAACTATGAGAAGTAGAGTATACAAGCATTATTGTAGGGTTTTTTAAAAAAAAAAGTTTAAGAAAATGAGGCTCAGGTCTTCCACTTCGGGGAGCCAAGATGGCGGACTAAGAGGTGAGTCTCTCTTACCCTCTCCTATTAACCTCTGAAAGCCCAGAAAATATCATCCCAGGAAAAACCCTGGAACAGCTGAACCAGAAGAAAGATGGGGTGCAGCAGTGTATTAGCGTAGGTAGCTTGAGGAATTAACTGGAAAGGCCCCTCTTGCCCTGGGTGAAGGGAGCAGTACAGAACTAGAGGGGTCCTGGCCCCATCATAGAGAAGAGTGAAAAGTGAGAATAGAACCTCAAACCAAATGCAGGGTGATGAAAGAGAGTATTTCTTTCTGAAATTTGTACTAGAACTTTCTACCAAGATTCTCACTGTGTCTGGAAGAGACAAACACTCAATAGTTACCTGCCCTTAAATAGCCATTCCCACACCCATACCCAATTAGGGATGTGAACATTCTGAGGGAGTAGAAGTCAATCACAGGGCATTGTGAATGCTTGCCAACTAATTTTATTATCCCTTTGAAATTAATTTTATTCTCATGTGCATAAGGGGGCAGCTGGATGGGGGAAAATGGATAAAATACCAGGCCTGGAGTTAGGAAGTCTTCTTATTATTTTTTTTTTAACTTCATGTCTAGCCTCAGACACTTAGTAGCTCTGTGACCCTGGACAAGTCATTTCACCTTGTTTGCCTCAGTTTCTACATCCATAAAATGGTCTGGAAAAGGCAAAGGCAAACCACTCCATCATCTCTGGGGGAAAAAACAAACAAACAGAAAACAAAAACAAAAAAACCCATGTAAGGTCACAAAGTGTTGGACAGGACTGAAACGAAATGAAAAACAACAAAAATATGGACAAGCACAGTGAACGGCAAAATTTATTTCATTTTATATCAAACAGAGTGCAAAGTAAAGGTTACAGAAATCGCAAGGGAATGGGAGTGACAAAAGTTCAAATCAGTTTACACCGTGGAAGAAAAGTCTCTATTTTGTGAGCAGTGAGGCGCTCCATCATGAAGTAGACTTGCAGGGAAGGCTGGAAATTGAGGGCCCACAGCCAGGGAGCCCAGGGTTGGGTTGAGAATTGCTCCCCGGAGAAATGCTCACAGAGGGGAATAGCAGCAAGCACAAAGATGAGAGTCCACTGGACAGAGAGTCATGGGACCAGCCTTTGTTCCTGGAAGTGGGGGGCCAGGAGAAAAGATGGGTGAGATGGGCTCTGTGAAGACAATGGGGAAGAACCTATAAATGAGGGACCGCTGGAGAACGTTGTAAAAGGCAATCGTGCCAGGGGCATCTTCTAGGTACACCCCAATCCTGGGCACAGGGCCTCTCACTCGGTAGTTCAGCGATCCAGGATATGATTGGAAATAGGAACCCTCTTCTTTCTTGACACAGCGAAGCAGAAACACAGGGGGACAGGAGTCCACGTTCCTGCCCCTCTTTATTCTTGAGTGTGGGGTATGGATCCCCAGTGTCCACTGAGGCAGTTGAGTCACGTCCACCTCCCAGTACTGTCTGCCTGAGCTCAAGGTCTGCTCAGCAAAGACGTAATGGCGAGCAAGGTCCTCGGGGTGCGGGTTCTCCACCTGCCAGCCTTCTTCAGCCTTCACGCTCCTTAGATCCTCAGAAACGGTCACACAGGGACCGGCTGAGGTGGGGTCCAGGGTGATGTCCACTCGGAAACCGCTGAGGATCTCTATCACTCCAGGGAGGGGGTCTTCTCCCAGCTCTGGGGTGGCAGCCTTGGCCCTTTGGGACAACACTGACTCGCTCCTCCCCAGCAACTGCTTCACTCCCTGTAGCAGATCCACACTGGGTCGGTGGTCAGCTCTCTGCAGCTCTAGCAGGAGGTCCTGAAGGGTTTGCAGACGCTGGGATAGTCTGGCCCGGCTTGCCCTTTCGTCCTCCTTCATCCTCTCAAGGCGTCGGGATTTTTCCGACAGGAGGAAGTCCTCAAGTTTGGTATATTCTGCTGAGATCATGCGGCGCCAGTCAACAGCAGGTGTCTGCCCCTTAGCGAGCAGTTTCTCAGCTTCCTTCAAATGCTTCCGCACGCGGGTCCGAATGCGCTGGAGCTTCTCCCTGAAACTGTGAGCTGTCTCTCGTACAGGAGAGAGCTGGTGAGCCCCATGCCCTGGGCTCCGGGAACATCTCACAGAGAGGGGTGTCTGGTCCTCTTCACAGAACACCTTGAGCACGTGCTTGTGCCTGGTACACCGGCTCTGTGCCTCAGTGCTCTGCACAAGCTGGGAGCAGAGCTCTTGGCTCAGGTCAGTCAACCGCGCTAGGTGCCCATCGACTGCCGGGAATTCTCTGACCTGGGACACTCGCCTGCATTCAGGACAAGAGAAAGCTGGGGCTGCAACTCTCCAGCTCCGGGAGAGACACGCTCTGCAAAAGCGGTGCCCACACCCCATGGTGACTGGCTCAGAGAAGTAGCTCCTACAGATGTTACAGTTGGTTTCTCTCTGCCATTCCTGCAGCGTTTCCCTAGCAGCGGCCATTCTTCTCTCTCCAATTGCTTGTCTTCTCCAGCAGCTGAGAGGAAGAGACTTCAGGTCCACTGGAGACAGTGCTTCTGAGGGGCAGGATGCCCTCCTTTTATAGGAGGCAGACCCGCCCCAGATGAGGGGCCTCCCAGACGAGGCGTCAACTCCTCTAGCCTGCAACCCTGCAGTTCAACCTGTTAACCCTTGCTGCTCGCAGCAGCCCTGAAGCCCCCGGAGTTCACACCTCTTGTTGACTCCTTTGGATACACAGGTTTCACCAGGCCCAGAGTGCCCCTATGTGTGTAAAGAGGAATGTTACAAAAACACTCAACTTTGTCACCCCAGACACAGATTTCTTCTGTGCATACTTGCTGAGTGAATATCAATAGTAACTGTTTCTCTTTTGGCCAGCAACCCTGAAGGTCTTCCCCTCCGAGTCTGATTTTTTTTTCTTCTTAAAGAGGACATCCCTTGAATTACTTCATTTTCTATTAGTTTATTTTGATTCATCAACAATCACTTCCGTAACATTTTGAGTTTTAAATTTTTCTCAACCTCCCTCCCCTCCTCCCTCTGCAAGATGGCACACAATCTGATATAGGCTATACATATACATTCCTATTCAACATATTTTCACATTAGTCATGTTGTAAGTAAGAATTCGAACCAATAGGAGGAACCGTCAGAAAGGAAACAAAACACAACAGCAGAAGAAAAAATAACAAACAGTATGCTTCGATGTGCATTCAGACTCCTTAGTGCTTTCTTTGGACGTGGACAGCATTTTCCATCACGAGGCCTTCGGAGATGTCTTAGATCCTTGTATTGCTGAGACGGGCTGGCTAAGTCTGTCAACATTAGTCATCACAGGAGGTGGCTGTTGCTGTCTACAAACGTTCTCCTGGTTCTGCTCACTTCACTCAGCATCAGACCATACAAGTCTTTCCAGGTTGTTCTGAGGTTCGCCTGCTCATCATTTCTTATAGCACAATAGTATTCCACTCCATTCATAGACCACAACTTGCTCAGCCATTCCCCAGTGGATGGGCATCCTCTCCATTTCCAATTCTTTGCCACCACAGAAAGAGCTGCTATGAATATTTTTGAACACGTGGGTCCTTTTCCCATTTGTATGATCTTTTTGGTATACAGCCCTAGAAGTGCTGTTGCTGGGTATGCCCATTTTTATAGCCCTTTGGGCACAATTCCAAATTGCTCTCCAAAATGGTTGGATCAGTTCACAACTCCACCAACGATGCATTAATGTTCCAATTTTCCCACATCTTCTCCAATATTTATCATTTGCCAGTTTTGTCACGTTGGCCAATCTGATAGGTGTGATGTGGTACTTCAGAATTGTTTTGATTTGCATTTCTCTAATCAATAGTGATTTAGAGCATTTTTTCATATGACTATGAATGACTTTAATTTCTTCATCTGAGAATTGCCTCTTCATATCCTTCGACCATTCGTCAGTTGGGGAATGACTTGTATTCCTATCAATTTGGCTTAGTTGTGTTGTAGAAATATATGGTAGACATGAGGCCTTTATCAGAGACGCTGGTTGTCAAAATTCTTTCCCAGTTCTCTGCTTCCCTTCTAATCTTGGTTGCATGGGCTTTGTTTCTGCAAAAAACTTTTCAATTTAATGTAATCAAAATGATCCATTTTGCATTTCGTAATGATCTCTATCTCCTGTTTGGTCATCAGTTCTTCCATTCTCCATAGATCTGATAGGCAAACTATTCCTTGGTCTCCTGGTATACTACAAGTATCAGTCTTTATGTCTAAATCATGAACCCATTTTGATTTTATCCTGGTAAAGGATGTAAGATATTGATCTCTGCCTACTGTCTGCCACACTACTTTCCAGTTTTCCCAGCAGTTTTGGTTGATAGTGAGTTCTTACTCCAGAGGCTGGGGTCTTTGGAATTCTCACATAGTAGATGACTATAGTCATTGACTGTTGTGTCTTGCATACCTAACCTATTCCACTGATCCACCACTCTATTTCTTAGCCAGCATCGAGTACTTTTGATGATTGCTACATTATAATGCAATCGAAGATGTGGTACAGCTAGGCCACCTTCCTTTGCATTTCTTTTCATTTGTTTCCTGGATATTCTGGACCTTTGGTTCTTCCAGATGAATGTTGTTATTGTTTTTCCAGCTCTATGAAGTAGTTTAAATAATGCTTCAAATGAAATTCTGGAGTGGAAGAACCAACGAAAAGTCAGGATGAAACAGTTTTCCAACCCAAGACAACTTAGGGGGCCAGTAGGAAAAGCAGTAATGGTTAGGCCTGGAGAACAGAGCATTGCACACCACTTCTCACCAAGTCAGCAGCAGCAAGTTTAGAGAGTTCTCAGCTCACAGACAGTAAAGGGGTCAGTCAACTGGTGAGAAGGAGATGATAAGGAACCCTGTGCTGGCATTGGTGCAGGACCGTCTTGTATTGCACACACACAGTTTTACGTTGCATTCCCAAGGTAAAGGGAAGAGGGAAGGAGAGAGTTTAGTCTATTCTCATCTGGATTGCTTCCAATATCAGTTCCAGGTCACAGAGTGAAGAGGCCATTTCTTGGTTGTGGATGGTTTTCATGTTCCCTTGGTATCATACAGTGAGTTCGTGATAGAGATGGAACTAGAACCCAGGTCTTCTGACTTCCAATTCAGCACACCTTCTTCCCTACCATATTGATTGGAATGGATACTAATAATACCAGTAATGACACCATTGATAAAATGGCAGAGGCACACGGCATATTAGACAAATATTGGATTTGAGGCTAGGAAGATCATAACCTCAGTCCTCACTGACACCTCCCTATCACACACCCACAATGTCTGATCACTTGCTAAGTTTTGTTGGTCTGTCTCCATAGCATCTTTCCCTTTTTCCCTCTGCTCACATGTCTATCTACCCCCAAATTCAGATGCTCAACATCTTTCACCTGTACTATGGCAGTAGCTCCCTGATTCGCTTCCCTGCCTCTAGCCTCTTCTCTTTCTAAATCATCTTCACAGAATTTGAGAGTTAGAAGGGACGTTGACAGCCAAGTAGTCCAAATTGGACATAAAAGACATCCATAGCAGGTGCTTTTCTAGTTTCTGCTTAAAAACCTTCAAGGATGGAGAGCCTACCACCTCTCGAGATTGCCCATTCTTCATATAACTTCATAACTGATACTCTTAAAATAAAAGTCTGACTGTCACTCCCCTGCTCAAGCTCCAGGGACTCCCTATTGCCTTTAAGATGAAATACAAACTCACCCCTGTGGACAACCCAACACCTGATCTGACCCTTCAGACAGACCCTCCCCCACAACCCCCAAAACCCAACCAGGGCATCTCCGCTTTTATGTCTTTCTGTAGGTTTCCTTTGCTCCCTTTGGTTTCTCATCTTGTTTTCAATGGCTAGTGCTGATCCCATCCCAAGAGCCTTGGAAGGGTGGCAAGAGTGTCCCTGCCTGGGGCAGGAAAGCCAAACCCTTTGGATGTTTGCATGGATCTGGCAGTATGGTTCTGTTAAAAGCCTTTGGGGGTCTGTGGTGAAAGTCTAATGGAGTTCTAACAGAAGGTGTTGGGGTGGGGTGGTGGGTGGGCATGAGGAAAATGTGGTGCCATCTTTATGTGGCCTTTGAAACTGAGGAGAAAGGAATTCTAGACACTGGCTGGGGGTAGGACAGGTGAAGAAAATGAGGTAGGGATGAACAACATTACAAAATCGATTGACTTTTATTCACAAATAATCAGTGATTGACTCTACCAAGTTTTGGCTTGTAGGAGAGGAAGGGAGAGAAATCCCTGCTCACTTGGCACCATGTATAAATTGTAACTGTCTATCTCTTGAACTGTTCTGTAAATATCTGGTGCTACTATCCCCAGCCTCTCTCTTCGTCCTACATGGCTTCCTCTACCCCTGTCCTGCAGTTTGAGTGAATGTGTCGATGGTCCCTTGGCAATGTGCTGAATTCTTTCTTTGCTTTTTTTCTTTTTCAGGAAAAATCCATATGCTTGGGGGTAGGTGGGCCATCAAATTATCATTATTGATCACGCCTACAATAAGAAAAATGTAGGAGACCCATCAGGGCCACATCTCTGCTCCCCTCTTCTGCCACATCACACATTTCTGCATGACTTGGTGGGATTGTGAGTCTTTGGCTCTCTTCCCTTTATGTTATGTCTCTGCTACTCATGCTGTCTCTGCTTTCCTATCTTGCTCCACTGGACAGCATCATCAGCTTTTTCCTGATGATGATGATGATGATGATGACTGGCATTTATATAGTTATTTCATTTTGGCAAAGAACTTTAAATAAATTCCATTTGGTTTATAAAATAATCTGGCAAGATAATATTCAGTATTACAAAAGGGGGAACTGAGATTCAGATCATTAAATAAATTGAATGAGAGATTTTTTTCCTAATGATGATGGTTATGATAATTAATAATAATAACCAGCATTTATATAGTGATTTCATGTTGGTGAAGAATTTTAAATGAATCTCATTTGGTTTCTAAAACAATCCAGTGAGGTAAGAAATATTCAATATTACAAAAGGGGAAACAGAATCAGATCAGTTAAGTAACTCACCTGAGGTCACACAGCTAATATTTCAGAATCAATAACTGATTCCCAATCAACCTTAGCTTCAATATCAAGATCCTGTCTGGTTGGACATGCAGCCTCACCAATCATATAGATATGATTTATTAAGATATGCTTCTTTCTGAATCAAATATTTCAAGTTCTTGGAAAGATGAGGATGGATAAAAAGAATACAGAGTTATCTTCTTAGAAGAGAACAAATTAATAACTTGGGATATGAAAGAGGTGTCTCCATTGCTTTCCTAAAGGAGGGGAGCAAAACCATTTCACACTTCATTACTTTTCTTTCCCAAAAGTTGAATCGTTTAGTATTCT